GAGGCAGCATCGCAGGAGGGGGGCAGGTGCGCTTCCTCCGGCTGCGTGGCCTGTCAAACCTAGGGAGAGAAGAATGCAAACAGGGGGCCCAGCCGGGGCTGCATTTGGGACACTCACAGGACTGTGAACAAAGGGGCATGTGGAGCAGCATTGCCCCAGCCTGGAAGAATCCTGAAGGATGTTGTGGAGCCCTCTCCTGGCCCCAGACGTGAGGGAGGCAGGAGAGTGGGGATGGCCAGAGAAATGGGGAGCCCGTGGCACTCACTTGCCCAGGAGTTGGCCTGAGGTGCCTAAGGGTTGCTGTCTACCCAGGCAGGGATTTGGGGGGCGGTATAAATAGGGCTCTCCCTGAGCCCCTCGGTGGTGGGCATTAAACCAGGACCTCTGAGGATGGAGCAGAAAGACCTCGGCATAGACCTTCTCCTCCCCCCACCCCCCAAGCAGAAAGAAGCCTGGACTTTGTCGCATGCAAACAGGGCTGAGAAGAAAATACTGCAGAGCACAGTTCCTTCCCTAGTGCATACTGGGGTGAGGACTACACTTCCCAGCAGGCTTTGCACAGTTGCCAGCTGAGGGACATCCCACAGCTGGTGGGACAGGACTATTGGAAATGTAACTTTTAGCAGCAGGAGTCTGTGTCACTGCGGGGGTGCTGCAGCAGTCTCACCATTTCAAAGGAAGCTGTCGTGCTGCGGAGGGAGCGAGAGATGCCAGCCCACCAACCGCAAATTAGAGCAGCTGCGGTATATGTCTCATAGGGAGGCTGTCCTGTCCTCCACGGCCTGGCTTGCTGCTCGGGTAGGCATGGCCCCTCAGCACTGCTGTTCACACGATCTCGCATCCTGCTCCAGAAATGAGTTGGGGGAACACTTACACACACTTGAAAATCAAAACAAGAAGAAAAGTAGTACCTGGTACTGCTCCTTTGTCATGTAATAAATGTTTGGAAATGGAACGTCTGCCACTAGCATCATTGCACTACCTGCAGCAGGAAGGCCTGGACCCTGGGTCAGGGGAGACCTGCAGTCCATTCCTGCACCAAAGGCTCTTAAGCAAAGTACGTTGTCACGGGATAAGAGGGATTGAGAACTGGTTAAAAGACAGGAAACAAAGGGTAGGAATAAATAGTCAGTTTTCAGAGTGGAGAGAGGTAACTGGGGGGTCCCCTAAGGGTCTGTCCTGGGACCCGTCCTATTCAACCTATTTATAAATGATCTGGCAAAAGGGATAAACCGTGAGGTGGCAAAATTTGCAGATGATCCCAAACTGCTTGAGATAGTTAAGTGCAAAGCAGACTGTGAAAAGCTTCAAAAATATCTCACCAAACTAAGTTGTTGGGCAACAAAATGGCAAATGAAATTTAATGTTGATAACTTTACATTTATGCACATTGGGAAAAAAAATTCCAACTATGCATACAATATGATGGGGACTGATTTTAGCTACAACTACTCAAGTGAGATCTTGGAATCCCACTGTGGATAGTTCTCTGAAAACATCCGCTCAGTGGGCAGCGATAGCCAAAAAAGCAAACAATACTAGGAATCATTAAAAAAGGGATAGAGAATAAAACAGAACATATCTTACTGTCTCTATATAAAACCATGGCATGCCCACATTTTGAATACTACATACCAATATGGTCCTCATCTCAAAAAAGATATATTGGCATGGGAAAAGGTTCAAAAAAGGGCAACAAAATGGATGAGGGGTTTGGAATGGGACCCATTTGGAGAGAGAGTAAAAGGACTTGGACTTTTCAGTTTAGAAAAGAGGAGGCTAAGGGGGGGATATGACAAAGGTCTATAAAATCATGAGTGGTGTGGAAAAAGTGAATAAATTATTTACTTATTCCCACAATATAAGAACTAGGGGTCACCAAATGAAATGAATAGGCAGCAGGTTTAAAACAAACCAAAGGAAGTTTTCATGCAGCGCACAGTCAACCTGTGGAACTCCTTGCCAGAGGATGCAGTGAAGGCCAGGACTTTGACAGGGTTCAATAAAGAGCTAGATAGATTCATGGAGGTTAGGTCCAGCAATGGCAATTAGCCAGGCTGGGTAGGAATGGTGTCCCTCGCCTCTGTTTAGAGGTGGGTGACCGATTACAGGTAGGGTTGCCAGATGGTTCCAACAAAAACTCTGGACACATGGACATTCCGTCTGAGGTAGAAACACCGGACACTTCGATTTTCTCCATGGCTGTGTCTAGACTGGCCAGTTTTTTTGGAAAATCAGCTGCTTTTCCAGAAAAACTTGCCAGCTGTCTCCACTGGCCGCTTGAATTTCCGCAAAAGCCCTGACTTCCTATTGTAAGAAATCAGCGCTTTTTATGGAAATACGGTGCTGCTCCCGTTCAGGCAAAAGTCCCTTTTGCGCAAAACTTTTGTGCAAAAGGGCCAGTGTAGACAGCTCAGAGTTGTTTTCCGCAAAAAAGCCCCGATCGCAAAAATGGCGATCGGGGCTTTTTTGCGCAAAAGCGCGTCTAGATTGGTCAGGGAT